TGCTGTTCGAGACCCTTGGTCCAAAGCCCCAAAACACAGGACGGGACGACTCTACTGCAGTGATTCTCAATAGCCAAGGAGAATTTCCACAGGCAAGGAGTCACTAAACACACACACACACACACACGCACACACACACACACAGCTGGGCATGGTAGCACACATCTGTAATCCCAGCACTCAGGAGGCTGAGGCAGGAGGATCACTGGGACGTCAAGGTCAGCCTGGACTACGTAGTGAGATTTTGTCTCTAAACCAAACCAAACAAAACCCAAATAAACTAATAAGAAAATACTAGAAAAGAGGACAATAGAAGTATTATATTAGTTTTTGATGGGAGGTAACACATTCCCACAAACTTAGTGGCTTGAATGAACTTCTATTTTTAATTTCACAGTTTCTGTCCATCAGAAGTCCGGGCTGGCTCCTTAGGCCCTTGAAGGCTGAACACCAGTGGCGGCAGATGGATTACGGAGGATCTTTCTAGGCCTCCATGGTGGCTGGAGAAATTCCTCGCTTTGAGCGGTTCTTCGCTCTCCTGGTGAGCAGCAGGGTGGGGCTCTCTCCCTCGGAGAGGGGCTCGCTCCCCTGTCGGTTGCGTCTGCCTGGGAGAATCCCCTGTCCTGGTCTCTGGTCAGCTTGCAGGGCTCAGTCCCTCAACAGGGCCCCTGGGCTCCAGTGGGCAGAGCAGCACCCGGCCCGCAGTCACCCGGCCACCCCGAATGTTGCCAGATCCCAAGGGGCCCGGAAACAGGGCCTGGCTATTAACACAGCGGGAAGTCTAGAGCCTATAGGAAGACACTGTATTCATCATTTATAGTACTGAGGACTGAGTCCAGCACCTTCTTACTGAGCCATATTCCCAGCCCTGTTTTTAAAATTTTTTGAGACAAATTCTAACTGCATTGCTAAATTGCCCAGGCTGGGTTCAAACGTGTGATCCTCCTGCCTCAGCCTCCTGAGTGCTGGGATTACAGGTGTGTACACCAAGACTGATTTCAAAAAGATTTTTAATACGTAAATCGAGTAGCAGTGATAAAATAATTTCACACTTATATTTCCACAATTTCCAGGTAGAACAATTTGACATTCTTTTTTTTTTTTGAGACAGGGTTTCACTATGCAGTTCAGGCAGACCTTGAGCTCACTTTGTAGCCCAGGCTGGTCTTGAACTCACAACGATCCTCCTGCTTCAGCCTCCCAAGTGCTGGGATTACAGGCATGGGCCACCACGCCCAGCTCGACATTCTTACTAATATGACAATGTCAGTCTAGTTCTGCAGAACTTTAGTACCTTGGTGTCATGCAGTAATGTTTTATTTTTTTGTTTTTCAATGCTGAAGATTGAACCCAGGACTTTTGTACTGAGCAAGCCAACCCTTTATTTATTTTTTAAAATTTTGAGACAGGGTCTTACTATATTGCTAAGTAGGCCAGACTGGGTTTAAACTTGTGATCCTCCTGCTTCAGCCTCCCGGAGTCTGGGATGGCAGGTGTGTGCACCATGCCCAGCTCCTGCAGTACTTTAAAAAACGATTTTGCATGTTGGCAATTATTACACTGATGATAAAAATCCAGCTATTATGCTGACCTAGAGGAATTCCCTGGATTTATCACCAGATACCAACTCTCCCAGGACGAGCAAGCACTCGTGGCATAAACGGTCTCTGGCTGCTCTCCTACACAACTGTGGTCCAACGCCAGCCAGATGCAGAGCCCCTTGGTCGCCGATGAAGCGTCCTAGGCAGACCCAGCATCCGGGTACCGTGAGGTGACGTTTCCAAGTCAGGCATGACGAGTGACTCTTTCTGAATACTGGAGGGCGAGGTTGCCTCTCAGAGAAAAACGCTTCAACACCTTAACAAATAATTTTATGTTTCCCCTCATGCCCCACGCTCTCACTTTGCAGGGTGGGGCTGGGCGGGGCTCTGCGGACCGCGATGGTTCCGCTTGCTGTACACAATGCGTGTGCTCTTGTCCCTGGCTGCCGTTCAGATGACTACAGTCATGGGACTTCCAGCGCAGCTAGCTGATGACAGGGAATACTATTTTGTCCCCAAATCCCGTTCAAGCATGGCTGCAGCAATTAGATCAGAAGCTCTTCACAGGAAAGGGACCAGAGCGCGCTCGGTTGCTGGTTTGTCACAGGACATAGCGAGGGGTGCGGACCTGCTGTCACACACGTCCGGCGCTGCGGATTCGGAGATCTTGTTTATCTCTGATTCTGGGAAACTCCGCACAGCCGACCTCGATTCTGCCGGACTCAGGAATTGTGTCCCTGCCGGGGACACCAAGTGGGTGAGGTCACCGTGCTGCTGGCCAGGCGCAGGGTGAGCCCCCGGTTCTCTGTCAGCCCAGTTACACTTCCTTCCAAAGAACCTGGAAGAAACGCCCCGTGGAAGGAAGCCCGGGTCTGTGGAGCACAGCCCGGCCACCTCCCCAGGCTGACGCGTCGGTTAGGGTTTGCCTGCAAATCAGACACGTTCCTGCGCCTCAAGGTTGAGGTTGAGGGTGTTTTTTTTTTTTTTTTTAGCTCTGGGCAGCAAACCCGGGATCCTGAGTGTGCTGGGCAGGCACTCCGCCCCATGTGCACGGCCAGCCCCGGGGCTAGGACTTAGGGTCAGCACAGGAGACCCCCGAAGAGCCCTCGGGGAGCCAGGCGCGATGACCAGCACCCCTTTAGTCAAACACTGCGCCTTGCTGCCAGTGCACTTGGGACTGCAGGCAAAGCAGGCTTCAGTGCGTGGACCGGAAAACCAGACACGCAAGCCTAGATACTGAATGGTATCCCTTACACGGGAAACGAGTTATAAATAAAGAGCAAAATAAAAGAGAGAGAATAAGACCTAGGAAGACAGATGTTTTTGTTTGTTTCCGTACTGGAAATCGAACTCAGGACCTTGCACTTGCAGGCAGGTGCTGTGCGGGAAGACAGACTTTTCTCAAAGGGGAAGGGATGGAGGAGGAAGAGGAAGGAAGGGAGTGAGAAAAGGAGTTAAAATGTGTCATGTACGTGGAGCAACTCCACACACAAAAAGGAAACATCATATGCACTCACAAAGAAATTAAAAACAAAAACAATAAGATCAGCAGGGCTGGAGAATATTTTGTCCAGAATGTTAAAAGCACACAGGTACAAAATTCCCTCATACCTTTGCAAAAAGGAGCCCTACCGCGCCCGGCTGCGCAGTGACCTTAATAACGCAAGCACTGTTTGAACACAGCTCCGGGGGGAGAGACATGCGCACGACACTTGCTGCCTTCGGTGGGTTTGTGAGATGCTTCTGCATGTACTGCATGAACTTATGAAACAAAGGCAGGAACTCTGAGTATTCAGTGAAGGTCTGCACGTTAAAGTTTGTTCTGAAGCCACTGCGACTCCTACCTGCAGTGACAAATGTCTGTCATGCACCTGCCTCCTCCAAAGTGCATGATGTCACGGTGACATTTAGCATATGACCACACCGTCCGATGGCTGCTGTTCGTGATTCAGCAGCCCACATCAATAATTCATCGTGAAGTCACCGCGCGTTCTGGGCATTCAGGGCACACGCTGGCTCTGGGGTGACAGATGCCAGCTCTCAGCAGGTGCCGCACAGCGCCTTCTTCAGGACCGATTTCTGGGCACGGGGCTCAGCCCCGGGAACACAGTCCCCCCGCCCCCAGGCCGCGTAGCTCAGGGCGTTCCAGAGTCAAACGCGGTCAGGAAGCCTTTCTGCTCTCTCTGGAAAAGATTCCACCTCGGCTCGCTGCCCTGACGAAACACAAATGTGTTGGTTATTCTTTTTTGGGCTTCCAGTCTTTGCAACTGTCCAAAAATAAATCAAAGCAGCCATCAGGGCACCTGGGTAATACTACTTACTACTAACGAGCGGCTCTGCCTGACTTACGTAAACAACATTTCTGGGGTAAACTTCGCCCGGGAGGTCTGGACACACTCTTCTTTTTCTTTAAACGTAACCTGCTTGATAATAATTACCAGACCTGGGTGCATTAACCCTGGATATAGATTTGAACAGCAACCCCTTAAAAGAAGATACGAACTCATCATTAAAAACTGTGCACCCCGTAGGACAGTGGCAGGATGCTCTGGACCCAGCCAAAGTCACCCCCGGGCACTGCGACCCCCACAACTCCTGCAACCCAGCCCCCCGCCCCC